CCAACACCCTAATAATGAATATTCCCAATATATTATAGTATACCATATTTGGGGAGTATTTATTATTAGGGGGGTGGGGGGGTTTATTATTAGGGGGAGGGGATTACTCAAGTAGGACATGGCTCTACGGTATGTTATGCCGTCCTGGGGCCTACTAAACTGGAATAGATTTAGGGTTTAGGGTTTAGGGTTTTTGAAACATGTTAGGGTTTAGGATTTAGGGGCATTTTTATAGGCTATGAGGGAGTTGCGGTATGAGAGTCATGTAAATGTAAGGGGCACGTACTTCCAACCAAAGATATTAGGATCCAAGAGGCTAGTAAGGGAGTAGAATAGTACGCCCCCCCAGAGGTATCCACCCCAAGGTTTAAGGAGCTAATAAGGACTATATGGGGGTTTCCAAAAATTAGAGGTACCATTTTGGGGGTCCTTATAATAAGGAATATCATATTTTGGGGTTCTATATTGGGGTCCCCTTATTTTGGGAAACTACCATATAGGGCTTAATAAGGCTTAATAGGGTTCTAAGTCTGGGGAGGGTACCTTTGGGGGTTACGAGCCTAGAGCTTGGGCGCATATGGATGTATCTTGACAGCGTCTATGGTGTTTCCCATATTAGGCCTTGTAGCTCTCCACACTTAAGCAGATGTGGAGTTACTGTACCCCAGACCCCCAAAAGGATCTAAAAATGAGATCCCTAGAACCATTTTGGGAAGTATATAAGGATTATATAGGGGGTATCATGGGTCTATATTAGGGATCTATCCTTTAGATCCTCCCCTGGCCGCAGGACTTTTGACATCAGCAGATCCTGGGACCTCAAACCACCAAACCCCTGTACCCCAAAAGGTCCAAGTACCCAATAATTAGGTACTTGGGTTTTGGGTAGTAGTATTTATAGTATAAGTTTTGGGTAAGTATATGATTATTACGTACTTGGACCTTCAGGGTACATCCAACTACCAGGTTTAGCAAGGAACGGAGGAATGGATCCCAATAGTAGTTCCTTTACATTCTACGAGGATTACGATCATTGCCCCTAGATCCCAATCCCGCATTCCCTACCGACCCTAAACCCTAAACCCTAAGCCCTAAACCTCAAACCCCAAACCCTAAACCCTAAACTCTACACCGCCTTAAGCGCAGCCAGTCTTCTGTCTGCACGGCCACCACGCCGGGATAAGAGCCACACGTTGCCTCTGCTCTTGCTGAGGGGTTTACATTTAGGGTTTAGGGTTTAGGGTACAATTTATTTGAATCCCCGACTACAGTCTCCCTCAAGTAGATAGATACATGGCTTTGGGTATATTGTAATAAGCTCCCCATATATCCCAGATTCTATCTACTTAAGGGGGACTCTATGTACCTGGAGTTTAGGGTTTGGGGTTCGGGGCTTAGGGTTTAGAGTTTAGGGCTTAGGGTTCAGTGGTATAAGGGGCTTAGGGGGAAGTCTTACGGGTTATAGCTACTAACTATGGCTACTAAACTGTACATAATTGCTGTTACCGGGCAGGCGTAGAGTTGGTGTAGGGGCCTACGGTTTAGGGTCATAAGGCTTGGAAATAGCATGTGACATGGTGGGGTAGCCAGACAACATTAGATGACTCTTCTTGGTTGAAACTAGGGAAATAATGTTCATACTGCTGCTGCTGAAAGCCCTAAGCTGCAAACAAGCACCTTAAAGCTGTTCAACCATTAAATAAGCCCACACAAGATTTTGAGTATGAACAGTAAGGATGAAGCAAACAAAAATCGGAAAGTGCAAAGTTGCGATGTCTCGGGCCGTGTTGGCGATGAAGAGCACGGCGGGAACCTGGCTGAATCTCCAAAGTCTTGGCCCTAGGGGGTAGGAATGACGGAATACGTGTGGGTCAGAACAACAACCCCAAAGGTTCCATGTAGGTATATGGTATGTACTTAGGCCCCAAAGGGGTTCCCATATACCTACTTTAAGGCCCAAGTATATACCATGTACCTACATGGAGCCCTTGGGAACTGCAAGGAACCTGATCATGGGCTCCCAGAAGGGCGTATTTCGCGATGTGTAGCAGACTTACGCGACCGGGCGGTGAGCAGGTAAGAGCAGTTAGGTTAAGTAGTTAGCAATAGGGGCTTACTGCATGTTTAAACTGGCTTTAAGTGTTAAGTATGCGCGGCCTTAGGTATGCGATTTATCGGATTCATGCCCATGCTTGCTTGAAGTTCGTTGTGGGCTAGGTACCCAACACGTGATGTTCGGAAAAGCTTAAAGTGCTTAGCTTGAACTTAACTCTACTAATTGCTGTTGTGATTTTTAGTTGTGTTTCTTGGTCTGGTATAAGTTACTAGCATTACTATGATTAGTGATAAACTTATCATTAGCACTAGTTCTACCACGTCATGTAGGATCAGTTCACCCATCCATATACCTCCATCCATCATTGCTTACAAGCGGATGTCGACTGTTGCTCCTATGAGGGTTTAATAAAATACTCGGTTGCAGACAAATATGGGCGGTTTTCCAAAATAGGGGGTACCATTTGGGGGTCCCATAATAAGGACTGCGGTATATTAGGGACTATATTGGGGTCCCCCTATTTAGGGAAACTACCATATGTCAGCAGCGGATACGGGAATTGAACAACGTGTAGAATCAAGTATAGAGGGTTCGGGAGGCTCTGGCAGAGGCGTTCCACTTTGCAGCTTCATAGTGCTGGAAGCGTCTTGTCCGCAACTTCCCGCAGACTTCCTGAAGCTGTCCGAGCCCGACCCCGACCACCTTGTAGTACAACAGTAGGGAAAGCCCAAACTAGGCCTCATGCATGCATGCAAGAACCCCCACGCACCCAGCGCCGAGGGGATCGTCATTTCCAAGCGGAATTCGGCAGATCAGTCGCGCAGCGCCCCGACGCGGCCAGAACACCAAGAGGTCGTCGATCCTGACCGGAATTCAACCGGCCAACGGCACGAGCCACCAATCGGCCAGCCGGACCGGCCGACCGGACCGGCCAACCGAGCAATCAGCCGACAAGCCGGGCCGGCGAGCCGGCTGGCCGATCAAACGACCAACCGGCAAACCGGCCAAGGAAGGGTTCACCGTGCCGCTTCCAGTTCGCCGGTTCACGGAAAAGCTCATATGCCCATACCCTTTAGCTTACGGTGCTTACGGCAAAAAAAACACAGTTTTGCTTGCGGTAGCTTGCGAATGACAGGTTTTACCCTAAACCCTTAACCCTAAACCGTTTTGTTACGGCGGCTTCCCTTTTGGCACTCCCCTGCTGTTGTTTTTGAGGAGTTTTGATCTTCGCTTAGGTGGGTGCCCATTCATAAGGCGTGTTTTGTAATATATGCGGGAAGCTAGACACCTGGACATTTTTGTTCAACCTACAAACTCTGAATCCTAAACCCAAAACCCCTGTCCCAAATGTAGATGCCTAAATAATGCCCAAGATCCTTTTGAGGTCTATTTGAGACACCCTATGCCATAATTGTATACGGAACCTGGGAGCATAATCTTGCTAATCTTCTACCTAGACCCTCCAATGTAGTTGCTTTTGGGGTTTGGTATGGTTTTATTGCTTAGGACTCTTATTGGAACTACCAAAAAAGGTACAACATTGGAGGGTCTAGGTATGCATCTGTAGTACCTGCTGTAGCTTTCTTTTGGTCCAGCCTTGTAGCGCTCTGACAGGAAACGGAACAGCCGTGGTGTGTCTGTGAATCCCTGTCGCTATCAGCTTTATGGGGTTCTGGGATGTACGGGTGTAGGGTTAGGGAATAAGGCCATGAGTTTAAGGCTTTTATGGGATTTAGTAGGGTTTGGGGTGTTTGCCCTTGCCCGACCTTTTGGTAATCGCCACAAAACGTTTTCTAGTAATAGCTGCTCCAATTGCAGATACCTTAAACTCCAAAACCCTGAACCCTAAACCGCATGGTTTGATGACAGGTCAATGGTTCTTGTACTTGTAGTTTGGGCATGTAGTCAGAAGATTTGACGGGAGCTCTCATACTGATTATCATTGGGGGTAAGTCGATGGCAGCGTAGCACGAGACGCATCAAGACAGCTGGGCCGCCAAGTACAGAAAATCTACAAGTGAGTAGTATCTTTGGTGGTTGAACCTAGTAAGGTTTTAAGCCTTGTATAAAATACTATACCCAAAAGGAGGCTATAATCGTACTCTTTTTGGGGTACCATTATACCCCCAAATAAGATACTACTCAAGTATCTTGCACATCTGTGTTTTCAGTCTGAATGAACCTTACCTGCTGAATCCGGAACAAAACTTTCAAGTAGTACCTTTTCGGGCTCCTCCTGAGAATCCTAGGCCCAAAACTACCTTACCAAATTCTAGCGAAAATCCCTTAAGACATGAGCCCAATTCCTCGACTGCCCAGAATCCTAAACCCTAAGCCTTATAAATCCTAAACCCTACACCCCAAACTGCCCTTTCTGGCCTTTAGAAGCCGTAGCACGAAGCGGATCAGTGCGGCTTTCCTTGGCCCGTTCTGAAGGCGGAAGGCCCCCGCAAAGTATTCTACATGGGGCGTGCTTGGCAGGTCTAGGGTGTGGCTTCCTTAGAGATACCCATTGGGGTAATATTCGGGTTATATGGGGACAATGCAAAATGAAATGGAAACTGCCATTCAGGGTTTGAGGTTTAGGGTTTGGGGCCAGTTTGGGGTTGAGCTCTTCATAGAACAGTTCTTGGAAGTCCATGAAACCTCGGGGGGCTCAGGGCTTAGCACGTAAGTAGCTTAAGCATGGGGTTATAGGCAGGCCAAGCGCAATTAGGTAAGTCGTAGAACCCCACTTCTGACCTGCTTGCTAGGTCCCCTGGGCCTTGAAGTACTTATAACCTTCTCCTCTCGATCAGTACTCAAAACCGTTTTATAAGCCCCCTAAGTCCAACTATAAGGCTATATAGGCTCTGATTACATGTATAAGTGGGAATGATTTCCGAGCGAAACCCCGGAGAAGAGTGCACTCTATTCAAGATGACCTAGACCATAGCCACAGCTACACAAGGGACCTGTGAACATGAGACCCTGAACCCTATACAACACCATATGTCCCTCCCAAACCGGTATAATTCTCCCTTGAAGTCAAAGGGCTCAAAAGGTGGGATGAAGGAAGGTGGGGTATAGGAAATACACCCCAATGTAGTAGAGTATATACTAAGGATCCTTTCACCCACCTACCTTCCTCCCACCTTTCGAGCCCCCCGATAATCGGACCTTTAGAATAGCTTTTTGGCTCTTGGCCCAGCATCAATGGGGAGCGATCTGGATCGACTTTCGCCAGCTTCAGAATAGCGTGAGGGAATGCCTGGTTTGGGGCTTCAGGTTCAGGGTTTAGGGCTTAAGGTTTAGGGTTTAGGGCAGAAGGTGTAGGATTTATAGTCTCCCATGAAGTAGATAGAATGTGGCTTTGGGTATATTATAAGGTCCCTATGTATCCCATATTCTATCTACTTAAGGGGGACCATGGGTTTAGGGCAAACACAGGCGCGGTCTACGGATTAGTCAGGTGGAACTTCCATGGGGATTTCCACAAACCAAGGGAGTTCCCGGTATGGATCGGATATATTATAGTTTCCATATGAGCTATAGTCTAAACTCCTAGTATCCCCCTATAATGGTCCCTTTATAATCCCCATACAATCCCGTACATACCCCGTCTTTCAGGAATTTAGACTACACTTCATATTATAGCGCCCCCAGAAAGGATCTCGATTTTTTGGAAACCCAGTTCAGGCCCTGATTTGTAGAGGACGCCCTTTGTCCATTTGTCGGCAAACCTCCGCTCATCTCCTTGCGGATTAAGCCCTAGACCCTTAACCCTAAACCCTAAACTCTAAACCGTGCCCTAAACCCTAAACCCTAAACCCTTAACAGGCCATGGAGCTCTGGGGCTGGGACCTGTTTAGGAGGTTGTTCTTCATGTGGTTTAACGGTTTCCCCTAGATGAGCAATAGTCTAGACTCCTGGTGTCCCTTTAAGAACCCTAGGGTTTAGGGGTCTAAAATCCTAGCATCCTCTATTATCATCCCCTATATAACCCCCTAGATGAACCCCTTTGAGGAGTTTAGACTATAGCTCACCCGCCCTCAAGGTTGCCTCTCTACTAGAGTAGTTTAAGGCTAATGGGGGTCAACGGCGGGGTGGTCTAGGTCAAGGGGGAGGCAAGGCAGCCTCAATATTGGTTTACCATATTGCTCGTAGCCTAGATTTAGACCGTGCTTTGGGCACCTAATTACCCCAAACCCAAGACCTTCTCCCAACCCAAAACCTTCTGAACCCTAAACCCTAAGCCCTAAGTGCTAAACCCTGAGCCCTAAACCCTAAACTCTCCACCCTGCACGCTATACTTTAAACCCTGGACCCGAAACCCATCTACCTCCAAGTGCAGGCCTCGGAGACATGAAGGACATTGAAGATCAAGCGGGGCTCTTTCTCAGAGTGGAAGGGAAGCAAACGGGACAGCGGGTAGCCGCATCCTGGGGTTTTGGGGTTACGGACTTGGGGTTTTGGGTATGGAATCTAGGGCTTCAGATGGTTTGAGGTAAGTATAGGGTTTGGGGGTTTAGGCTTTAAGGCTTAGGGTTTAGGGTGATCTAGAGCTTCAGATGGTTTGAGGTATGTTTAGGATTAGGGGTGTAGGCTTTGAGGCTTAGGATTTAGGGATAGAGGTGGTCCTATGACTCATCTGGTACTTTCGTGCTCTCCAGGGTGTCCAACAGGAGCGATAGCTTTCAAAGAAACCCGTGCGTCTGTCATACGCAGAACTCACCTAAGGTTTAACTTGAGTGATGTAGATTTTCTGGGTTAAAAGTTCTTTTGCGGGATTCCCTATATAAGCTACAGTCAATATTTGCCAAGCATAATAATCAATGAACTTGGGCTCATTATTGCGGACTAGATAAGGGCCCCTACTAAACTACCAACGCCACCCCCCATGTCATGCCCTATGTCCACCCTTAATGGTCCCTTGACAGTACAGTAGCTCCTATACTTGGAGGTTCATTGTACTTATAACCTACTTAGTAATTGTAGTTATAACCAAATTATATCTAGGGTAAC